CAAATTGTTTACAAATAAATCTTTTAACTTTTCAAGCCTGACTCTCTCTCTTTCTTGGAGTTGATACGAAGTGTTGCTCAATCCCTGCAATAAAAAGATCCGATCTTCTGGTTAAATTTACTCAAAGATCCATTAAGATGATATTTCCTATTTTATGACATTTCACATCTATGGTTTCTAGTTAGATGTAAGAACATCTTCTCTACATATATTTGGCGAGCCATTGATGGTTATTTGTACATTGTGACACTTCGTGTTGATTCTAAGATAATTTTTAATTAAATAAACACTAAAAATTCATCAAAAGTTGATGTTCTTGGTGAGAAACGAGACGATCTAGTTACCCGCCACTAGAGAGCAGTCGACCTCCATTTAAGTCTATAAAGGGGGGTGACGCCAGTCACCTCTGACAGGAGGCGCTGATTCATCTCTTTCACCTAAAGCTGACTCATCACTAGCTCTAGCTGCCATATTGGACTGTTTAAAAAGCACAGCTTCTCCCGGTTGCCGATTGATCCCCGGTAACCATCCCGTTAGCTTGACTTAGCATCGAGGTGCTGACAGTCGTTAGAAGCTTTAAACAGAAGGCCGCGCTGCAGCATGAACTGTACACGCTATTTGTCCGAAAAATTAACACGAGCGCCTCACGAAGGTTCGGTTATTCGGGCGGGTCAGTTCTACGAGAATTAGACCATAAAAGTCCTGGTTAGCTACCAGGCCCCGCTAGCTTAGCACAGCTTTCAGCTGCTAACTGGTCTCGGTTTCGACAACAGGGACTTGCGAACCTGGCGATTGTCAACTGACTGACACAGCAATTCTGTGTCTCAAAATCTGCTATTTTCTATGGGACAAGCTCTGACACGTTTGAGCAGTATTAGCGGTGTTTCCTGACATTTGTGTTGTGAAACGTCTTAGCTTTCCAGCCATTTGGGGGAAATTCCTGACGTACGAAACGCCGTACATAAGTCACCCCCGCCGCATTCTCATTGGTGCTCTGCCGCCATCTCGTGGCACCTTTTGCACATTACATTTCTTTTTGAGAAAACTTCATTTGTGATTAAATCATGTCAGAGCAGGAATAATTGTGTTTTCCCTCTATGGGTAGACAAGTTATTGATGCTGTAACAGCATCACTGCATGACTGTTCATGGTTTTGATGACAACCTGCAGAATTGTTCAGTTAATGATCTGATGAGTATGTTGCTGACACACGTGGAAAATTTGCCCAAGGAAGGTGTGAGAGTGAAGCCAGCTGCCCGCACAGAGAACTTGGTTGGATTTGCTGTTCTACTAGCTCATCTCTGGGACAACGAGGTTACTGCTCATGTGGAAACATAAAGTTTATTGCGCACACTTTCTGACCAGCAGCAAAGAGGAGGAGCCTGTGGTTCCGGCTCTGACGAGGAACAGTACAGCAAGGAGCTGATGGAAGCTCGAAAAGGGCTGAACAAAGCCCTGACTGAAAATGCAAATTTGTTGGATGACAAGATGGAGATGTCAAGTTGATACCTTGGAGAATGAGAAATGTGCTTTAAAGGTTGATGTCATTAATTCTGCAGCTCGGGTACGTAACCGAGAAAAGGAAATTGAGGATTTAAAATTACAGATTTCTGCACTCAAAGGAGAAAGGGGGACCCCTTTACTCCACCGGTCTCAACCTGCTACAGCCCCATCTCAACCTGCTCCAACTCCATCACCTCCTCCACTTTCTCCATTTTCTCCACCTCCAGCTAATGCTCCACCGGCTGCTATTGCCGCTATTAGGGTTGCACCTGCTGCTGCTGTGGTGGGACTAGCTCCTCAGCTAACCCTGGCTTCTCAGCCAGGCCAGTTTGCTCCACCTCCAACTCATTTTGCTCAAACCTCCAAGCTCATCAATATGTATGTGCCTGCAGCTCATCCATATGTGCCTGCAGCCCAGCCACACTTTCCAGCTGCACAACAACACCCTCCTCATGCACCTGCTGGTGCTGCTGCGATGGTTGTGCCAGTTTTCCAGCCAGTCCAACCGAACCTGTGCTCATATTGGACATTTACAGGATGTCTCGTAGTGTCAAGAAGTTCAACCCTTGACCAGGTAAATCATACCCGGTTGACACGTACCTGAGTGACCTCCGGCATCACTTTCAGCGATGTCTGGGAATGACCTTGGAGGACAAGATCTTTTTAACAAGGTTAATCTCTGATGTCGTGGGGTCGTTCATTGATCGCAAGCATAATGCGATCGCAAATGATTACGACAGGCTGGAAACCGCAATTCAGAAAGAGTACACTTATGATGCTAAGGAGGCTGGTGCACGGTTAGCTTTGTCAGTCAAACAGCGTCGTGCTGAAGACCCACAAGCCTTCTATCTACGCCTCTTCGACATGTACTTTGGTACTGAATGTAAGGACGGGATGGAAGAGGAAAAAGGTTTCAAGGAGCTTTTCCTTGAGAATCTACCCTAACCCTGGACTGTGAGGGTGTCTTGGACTCCGGTTCAGATTTCACCATCATGTCCAGCTCTCTCTGGGAGCAGGTCCGCATGGCTGCAGCTGCACAGGGTCACGTCTTAGGACTCACGCCCTGCGCTGTGGGCATCCATCCTTACTCTTCAGGCCAAATGACCTTGTCAAACATGGTGTCCATCAACTTCACAGTGGGAGACATGTCCGTGAGCCATCCAGTGTTTGTAACAAGCGTTGAATCATTTCCTTTCCTGTTGAGAGTGGACCTGATCCAACGCTTCGAAGCTGACATTTCATTCGGTGATTGGTTACTCCGAACTCGGCTGACTCAACAGGCACCCTTGGGGTCTCTTGAGGACCTCAATCCCTCTTTAGGTGATGTTAACTACAACGAGGCCGCCAATCTGACCAGTCGATCCACTACCAGTGAAGTCAGTGACATCCAAAGTGTCTGCGTCGTCGCTGTGGCAGCACCACGCCACCCTGTGATGGGAAGACCACCTACTCTAGGGGGAGGTGGCGGTTGCAGCGACACACCACCTGAAACGCCGCACCCTGCGGTGGGAACACCACCTGCCAAAGGGGGGATTGATGGTGGCACTGATACTCCAGCTGAAGCCGAGAACCTTGTGGTGGGGACCCCACACTTCCGGAGGACAGGCCGATGACATCACTGACCCTACTGCACTACAGCTGGCGCTAATGACCTTTAGTCCTGAGGTTGTTAACTCACCTAACAAAGGGTGTGTGTGTGTGGGGGGGGTGTTGAATGGCACCCTGTACCACTGCTGGCTGACCCTGATCTCTCTGACTGCACCTGCGTGTGAACCGAGGGCCCTCCAGAGCGCCCACCTGCGCTGAACCCTTGCAAGGCCGTGACAGTCTACAGTCTAAAACGTTCCTGATTTCCATTTTCAGGTCTGACAAGCTACATTTTGTTAGTCGCGTGTATCGGTCTGATATTGACCGCGGCTGAGATTCATTCTCAGTCTCCTCCTAACGCATCTGTACGAACCGGGGCCCTCTTCGGGTATCACGCGCTGAGATCGCCCAGGTCTATTGATGACCAACTATCGTCTGTTCACTCAAAAGATTTTCGTCAAATTCGACCCCGCTATGGTGTGTACCGATAAGATGACAGGTGCTTTCTGCAACCTCTCAGAAATGGGAGCCCGCTGTACTAGTACCCTGACACAGCATGCCGAAGCTGCCATCCGTCACATACTAACCCAAGCACTTAAATTCACAGTTTTGAACAGTGACCTTTCCGGTACCAGCATTAGGCTGAAGCGTTTCCTAAACAGATTTTTTCTCAGTAGCTAATACAAGTGGCAATCTTTTAGATTTGGGATTCTCTTCAGTCAACTCGATTGAGATTAACACAAATCGTCGACACGTTGATGAGCTAACAGAGAATATCCAGCTCTGCGTAAGCAGGTACTGCAGCAACGGCATGCCTTGAGACAGCTGGGCACATCTGAACAACAGACTATGGTGGTACTCAACACTCATAGCAACATTTTGCGTAAAACAACTTCCGCTGTGAATGAGTTACGCTCTTTTGTGAATGTTGACTATGCTCATACACAGATGCTGACCACTTGCCTGTCCGACTATGGTCGGGACGTGAGCGCTTCAATCGATACCCTCCTCATGGGGAGGATCCCTCCATACCTTGTGTCCCTGGCCATGGTCCGGTCTGCAATTGCTCAGGTGGGAAGCAAGTGAGGTAATTTTTGGGTTTGGTTGGGTGGTATAGGAGATTTATTCCACATTTCTCAACTTTGGCAGCCCCTCTAACAGAGCTGACAAAAAAGTCCATCTCCAAAGTCAGATGGAATGATGACTGTGAACTTGCTTTTCAGTCCTTAAAGAAGCGGATATGTCAAGCTCCTGTTTTGCAAAGTCTTTCTTTTCCAAGCCCTTTGTTGTACAGGTGGACACTTCAAATGTTGGCCTTGGAGCGGTACTGGCTCAGGGAAGAGCTGGTGAAGAAAAACCTGTTCTGTTCCTGAGTAAGAAGCTGTTTGATCGGGAGAAAAGATACTCCACAGTAGAAAAGGAGGGACTAGCAAAAAAGTGGGCTGTTGACTCTTTAACATACTACTTGCTTGGAAGGGAGTTTATTCTGCAAACTGATCACAGACCATTGTTGTGGATGCAGTCCAAACAGCACCAGAATGCCAGAATAATGCGTTGGTGCCTGGCCCTCCAGCCATATCAGTTCACCATACAGCATTGTCCAGGTAAGAAAAACCTTATTGCTGACTACCTTTCTCGTTTGCCTGAGATGTGTTAACCAAAAAAGGGGGGAAGTGAGTAAATGTTGAGAAGCAACATGTTTTCTTTAACTAAAGAGTGTTCATGCAGGACTGTAATGCAATCTGTGATAAACATGAATTTGTTTGTTACCCTCAGGAGATGTCCTCTGTGGCAGCCATCTTGAACCAGCTAAAGAGGAAGCCCGCCTCTAATGCTGCCTTTATATAGTAAAATGCCTGAGTGGACTGAGGTGATTGGCCGACCTGAATTGGAGGGGGGGGGGGGGGGGGGGGGTCAGAGGGTATATAGGTGGACTGCTGGGTGTGGCAAAGCGATCTCTCTCTGAAAGTGACTGAGACTGGAAGAGAGATGGATGGGTGGCCGTTTTGAAGACGGCTGGATTTTCTGTATTTTTTTTTTGACCAGAGGAAAATAAACTGGTTTTCCTTGTTCATCAACCAAGTCATCATGTCTCTTTTGTCCTCACTACACTTGACTGTGTAACAACAGTTCCTAAGAGACTATTCCACTCACTATGAAACACTCATTGTTGTAAGGTTTTGTTGTTGTAATAACCTGTGTAGACAGAGGCTGGTCTCCTCCTGCAGAGGCAGAGGTGAGGAGAGGAGCTTGTTATGGCGAGGCGGGCTCATGGACAGGTGGCTATAAACAGCTTCAGTTTGGTTTGGAAGCACAACTCTCTCAGACAAGCGAAGATGGCTGATGACCTTTAGGCACTACAGGTCATGTTGACTCAGAGAACCAAAACAAACAGTCCTTAAAAGCTTAATCCAACACAAATCATCTCATCATCTAACTTTTGCAGGATTACATTTACCTTCTTAACGAAGCCAGGGGCAGGGTGGACTGGTTCTTCTTCCAGCTCTTGGAGAGTTTCTCCTCTCCCTCCCTCCTTATCTCAAGGCTCTTAGTCCTGTCTTGTGTGTACAGCGCTTTCTGCATGTTTTCTGGAAACTGGAAATTATTAAAAATGGACCTGGTCAGTTGGTCTCTCAACGCGAATGACAACATTTTTAATTACGCCATTATTGGATCTAGAGGGGTTGAAGACCAACAGAACACTAATGCAGAGAGGAAATTATCTCTGTCTGTCCCCAAAACAATTTTTGACTGAATCTGGTGCCCTTGGAGTCTGTGGGGCTGAAGTGATAACTCCCCCCTGATCTCAGAAATGTGTGTACTGAAACTCTAATTTCCCTCTGGGATTACTAAAGTATCTTTGAATTGAATTTGAATTGATGAGAACGAGGTGCAGCAGATGATGCCTCTAAAGCGGTCCAGTTTGGTGCTTTCAGTCTACGAGTCCGGATGAGAACCAAGTCTTCTGAGTGTTTCCTTCATCTTGAACACACACACTCATGCATGCCTGTTTTCAATTCCATTTAATTTGGCTCAGATGTCTACCTGAACGAAGCCATGATCAAGTCTTAACTAAATGATACCATAAGGTAGCTTGATGTAAAAAATACTGCTTTGTACCTTAAGAGTTTACAAAAACTTGTGTTAATATTTTGTTTCTCAAAGATGTCAGAATGTTAATATTGATAGAGAAAAATTGGTTTTCGCTGACATTACTGCTTAAAATCATAGCTGCCTTATATGTAAAACACCTGTTGCTTCATTAAAACGTAAGTGTTATCCTGTGCCAGTCTTCCCGTCTCATCAGGGAGGACAACTGGCCCGAGATCTCCCTGGTTTTAATAAAAATAACCCAACAAATACACTGTTGAAAATGTCCCGTATTTACATCAGTTCGTTACTCTGAACGAGGAAGTGAACTGTTCTCCAGGACTCGGCTCTCGTTGAAGAGCAGTTCACATTTAGTTAGAGAGCACCACGTCGCTAGTGTCCGTCAGACCTGGGTTTCAGTCTGTCTCCACCCCAGAGACACCAGAAGAACTCCAGGAGATACGTAGAGTGCACCATCCTGCTGTCACCGTTGGCTTCTTGTAGAAGTTGCTCCTTCAGCTTGTAGCATGTTCTAGCTGGACCACGCTGGAGACGCTGATGCAGTCCTGCTGTCCACCGCTGTCTGGCCGAGAGCTCACCGTGGTTTTAGAACGGAACCGTTTAACGTTCCAGGTGTTTCTGTTCAGGTCATGTAAAGGTGTGTGTGTGTGTGTGTGTGTGTGTGTGTGTGTGTGTGTGTGTGTGTGTGTGTGTGTTATTGGCTCAACTCATGAAGAAGGGTTTCAGGCCACCAAAGCTTTCACATCATTGTCCAGCTGCACAGAGGACCTGAGGACAAGTGTGGGACAGCAGCAGCTCAGGAGGTAGAGTGGCTGTTCCGGTAATCAGAAGACTGCAGGTTGTGACCAGAGAATGCTGCTTTTGTGTCGTTGGGCAAAACACTTAGCCCGGTGGTTGTCGGAGGGACCGGTGGCGCCTGTGTATGGCAGGCCTCACCTGTGTCAGCCGTGGCCACATCGTAGCACATCTCACCAGCGTGTGGATGTGTGGATGACTGACTGTGTTGTGAAACGCCTTGGGGGGGGGGGGGGGGGGTGTAGAACCCTAGGAAGGTGCTCTACAACAGCTGGTCTGTCTGTGGCTCTGGAAATAATCACAGTGGAAACACCTGAATAAGCACGGCTGCATGTTTAGGAAAATATGGAAGGTTTATTCGACCTACTTTGACAAGCCTTCAGATCCATAGGCAACAAACCCAAGTCTCTAGATATCGATGCAACACCTCCAAACATTAGCAGCCTTGTTTCTGCCATCATCAACACATCCATTCACCTCTTGTCCAAGCAGACATGTCTTTAACTCCATTAAGTGGGTTAGTAGTTGGAACTCACAACAGCGTTGACTTCTATGTTTTAAGGGTCCGTTGAAAACAGACAGTCCAACACAAAGTCCATTGGGTACAGGGTTGTCCGGTCTTCAGCTGCTAGGATAGCTTATTTACAGGTTCCTACTAGAAGCAACGGGAAACAAGCACTGCCATTGTGCTAATAAAACAAGTTGACTGTCCCGTTTCAGATTCAAAGATAACATCCAAAGAGACAACTCATTGAAATGATTGTGCTTTTAATCCACAGAACAACTTTGTGTTTAGAAAACGAATGTCTGTGAGAGGCACCGGAAAAGAGACGTTTACGGTAGAAACATGAACTAACATGAAGTGTAGTAAGACTGGATCGGCTCGCCGTTAATACGAAGTGTGTTTATGGTCCCTGAACAAGTAAAAGAAACTATAATCTTCTGCTTAAACATTCAAAGATCAATCAGGTTGACTGGAGTCTTCTGATCCGCAGTCAGCTGAAAACAGCCGTGTCTCTCTCTTTCACAGTCTAGAGCTAGCAGAAGGACAGGGTGTACAAATGTATGACTTATTTATATATTTATAACATTGCTACAGGCTGACTCTAGTCGTGGTCTTGTCTTGTACAAGAGACTCAATAATGCTGTTCGACCACGCTAAGCCCTTTCAGAAAAGCTCACAGAATAGGTCCGTGGGGCAAAGGTAGGTTATGAAGGCAGACGCAGTCAGTGCTCCCCACCAAGAACCAGTAAACTATGAATAAGAAGAAGTTTCCAGACAGTAGACGTGTTATTAGGCTAGTTATGTGGTAGTACTAAACCTCCCCCCCCCCCCCTCGACCCCTGGCCTTGGCTCGTGGGCTGGTGTTGTTAATGCTTCCAGTGATCTTGGTCCTGGCGTCTCTGACTTGTGGACATGTTCCGCGATGGACCTGACTGTGTGGCACTCGGCAGTGCTCCTCCCAGCACAAGTCAGGTGGTGGCTGTTGTTACACGGTCACTTCCGTCTTGCTGCCAGTGCGGTAGTGTTGTGGCTGCTGCTGCTGCTGCTGCTGCTGGTGGTGCTGTGGGATGTAATGAAGCTGTTCTACAGTGTGAGTTCGTCTGGAGGCAAACGCTTGTCTTTTGGTAGCTGTTTGGTTAGCGGCTGCCCCGCCGCCGCTGCCACCACCACCGTTGTTTGAGGCACTGGGATGGGAGTGCACTTTGGTCATCTGGTAGCGATCCAACAGGGGAGTTGTTGGTGTGAACACATCTGTGTGTGAGATGGCACGTGACATTGACTTGTCACTTCCATGGAAGCCACCAGAAATGCTGCTCACCATTCCACGCTTCAAGGACCTCATCAGCTTCTCTGGCGACAGCAGAGGATCCTGGGACAGGAGGCGATCTTGTGAGTACAGGCGCTCTTGTGAATAGAGGCGTTCATGAGAGTAATGGCGATCCTTTGAGTACAGATGCTCCTGTGAAAAGAGTCGGTCCTTGGAGAACACGCGGTCCTTGGAGTACAGGCGATCTTGGGAGGTGTGGCGATCCTGCGGTAGGAGGCGTTCCTGAGATCGAAGACGTTCAGCCGACAGCAGCTGTTCATCTGATAGGATCCTGCCTCCATATGGAGAAATCCCTTCTGAAGACACATAATCCTGGTGTGTGCCGCTCTGTGGGACTAGGACACGGTCCTGAGACATGGCCCTTTGGACACGTCGGGGGCGCTGCCTCTGCTGGGACTGCGGCTGTGAGGACTGAGAGTGGGCAGGAGCCTGAGAGATGGAGGACTGTGGAGGTTGACCCTGAAGTTGCTTCTGCTGTAGGTCCCAGTGCTGTTCAACAAAACACGAGTGAGGGAAAGGTTTGGTGAGCCACTGCTGAAGAAGCTGGCAACAAAATCAGCGGGAACAAACGTGACCCTGAAAAACGAAGACCTGTGCACTTACCTGTTCCTGACTCTTCGTGAGAACATGCAAAGGAAGGGTTCCTCTTGCTGCCAGGTCAGGCAGGTGACGCTTCCGAGTGTAGTAGTCCTCCACATCTTTATCTGCTGCAGAGACAAAACAAAGACTGTAGCAACATGAGAAAGGAAAAGCACACAAGTAAGGACTACTGCACACCAAGCAGGAAGGGCTGGTGGACATCCTCTCCAAGCTCATGTAGAAGAACAGAAAACAGAAGCAGAAGGTCACACTGTCCATGCTAGTGCACAACATTCAGGTCCAGGCTTAGTCTGTGCTTCTGTAGGCAGCTCTGGCTGTGGAGGCAAACATGCTGCAAAGCCCAGTCAGCCCTTCCTGGAGGGCCTGAAGGCTTTTAGACCTTTTCAGCTTCTTCTTCATTTGTGTGCAAACAAGAGAACGTGCATCCAGAAGCAGATCAGGAGGACCAGGAGACGACAGTGTCCAAGAACCCACCAAGAGACCAACAAGTCATGCCACGCATCACAAACATGCAAAAGGACTAGTCACACACAAACACACACAAACACACACACATTCACACAGACCAGGGTTAATCACTAAACGATGACATCATAGAGAGCGCTCCATCATGTTGGGGACGTCCTACATGAGTTTGTCGTGATGAGCCACCCGTCCTATCCTAGTCGTCCCACCCTGCTCCAGTGCTCACCTCATTCCCAGAAAAACCACGTCTGCATCGTTTCCCTTCATCAAATCCACAACGAAAGTGCTGCTCGGTCTCAGTCCAACACGACGTGTCCGTGAGCAGATACCAGCCAGCTGTCAGCAGACACGTGGTGAGCCTCAGCTCCCTCTCTCTGGTGGACGTCTTCCGCTTTTGCTTCAACAACGACTAAAAGACGTCGTCCTGCCCTTCACAAGCCCGATATGAGTAACGATATCAGGCTTAGGCACGTCCCCATCGGATTTAGCCCTCAGGTCCGAGTCATTTGCCTTTGGGTGTCTACCGATACGAGTCCTGCTCCGATACTTCTATAACACATGAAGTGTGAAGAACCCGTATTTGTGTTGAACTTATTTTAACAAAGTTCACTTTTGAGACGTAACTCAAACAATCAAGTAAAAATAACAAACTTCACTTTTGGACTTTCATTTATTGTCGCTGTCATCCACTCCGGTGTCTGTGTGGAGTCGAGAGGTCCAACGCTGCCACCAGATGTGTTGAACCAGATGTTTGTGAAAACTTCTGAGCCACACCGGCGGACGTGGGAGCGTCTCACGCAGGACGTTTTTGGACCACGTAGGACAATGTCCTCGCAGGCTTCAGATTTGTAACTGTAGGTATTGTAGTGACCTCTGACCTTTACACATTATACCTATTTTTATTGTGGCAATGGTCTGTTGAAATAACAGAGAGATCCTCGTATTAATATCAGAAACTATTATGAAACATCAGAACACGCATGAAAACACGTCTCAGTGCTGTAACGGTTCAAACGGGTTAGAGACCCTTTATCTTTATCTCTTATCTTGGTGCTTTTACTAGTTTTATGGTTAGTTAACGTTTAATGTAAGTCTATGTCTTGCTTTTATGTTTTTAGCTTTATATTTCACTCCGATGCCGTCTTTGTTGTGAGTGGGTCTGTGGCTCTCCTCTACAGCACTTTGGTCAGCTGCCATGCTATCTTTCATGTGCTTTATAAGTAAACTCATGAGGTGTAGCAGCTCACCACCAGCAGTGTGTGCATGACTGCTGTGTTGTAAAGTGCCTTGGGCGGCTGCAGAACTCCACACCAGCAGCGAGGGATGAGATCTGAGGAGACTTCCAGAATGTTCTGATGCGAGCCAGCACCACGCCATCTCTGCGGCGTCGATAAACACGGGCTGCACTTTCTTTGGGTAGAGACTAAAGAGGCCCATCACCCTGGTGGTGAATCACAAATGAATGGTTTGATTTCACGGTCCGCTCACACCCTTCCTCTGTTGGGAGCTGCAACATTTTAGGAGTGAGCGTGTGATCTCCCCACAGCTGAAACACGCTGCAGCGCCTCAGTAAGTCCTGGTCAGGAGTCAGGGGAGCACACAAGGCTGTGCTGTTCATCATGCAGTGCACCGGGTGGGATTCGACTGCAGGACACTTTGACCTACTGAGTTTCTTCAGGGATGAGAACCGGTTGAGGTCGGCTTTGATGGCCGCCTCGTAGGAGGGTGGAAGGTGGGACAGGCTCTGGAAGGAGCGTGAGAAAGACAGGTCGTAGGGCTCCGTCTGTGAGGTCAGGATGCCGCTTATCCGATTGTTTTCTGGAGACACATACATACATATACAGACACAGAAGAGGAATGATGGACAGGCGGGCTCCTCCGTCCACAAACACCTATCAGTGCTGAGAGCCCAGGCAGACCACCTGCTGAAGCGGAGGGAAAACAAGATTGAGCAGGTACAGAGGCTGGAGTTTTAGTTACGCAAGTAAACCCGGAGGCTGAGAAGACAATCATCAGTAAAAGTCGTGTTTGATGGTTTCAGGTCACCTGAGGGCCATCCAGTTTAAACCGGCTTAAGGAGAAACAGTAGTCTGTCTTCTATAAGAAGCGTTATTATGTCCCAAGCACGTGGTTCCAGATTTCTACTGCAACATTTCCTAAATGGACAGGAACCCCACCCCCAACTGCACACGGCATGTTTACCAGAACATGTATCTTCTTATTTATGGAGTGGTCTTCATGCAGCCGTTGGTGTCTACAGGTGTCTCTGCTCTGAAAGGCCAGTTGCACATCTAAAACTCCAGCTCGCTGTTACAAGAGAACACACCACACTGTGGACCTGGCGTGACGTGAGGTGGTAGGACATGAGGGAGCAGTGGTACGAGACAGAGGAGACAGCAAGGACCACAGGGAGATGAGACAAGACAAACACCAGCTGAGTGACCCTGGCTCCGGCTGAAGCAGACAGGAAGTCCTCCTCCCTCTGCTCTTCATCACACACACACACACACACACACACACACACACACACACACACACACACACACACACAACAGAGGATCCACGGTCTCGTCCATCTTCCCCTCTCCGTCAATCTTATCTACTCCACCATGCTGCCTCCCACTTTTCTTCATTTCTAACTTCTTTTGTGTCTTTTCAGAATCATCTTTTCACTCCAGCTGTGTCTCAGCTCCTTTATGAGTCTGTCATGCAGCGCAGCAGCATGGGTGCAGCTTAAAACCAGCCTCCAGTGCACAGATAAAACCGGCCTTAGAAAATGTCTCCAAGCAAGAGAATAGGAGGGGGAAAGCAGAAGGCTCTTTAAAACAGACTAAATAGCACAGGATATATATATATATATATATATATATATATATATATATATATATATATATATATATATACATATACAGAGTTAACAGAGAGGCCGATAACGCATTGCTTAGAAGCGTGTTACTAGTGCTTTGGGCTTCCTGACAGGGTTGCGGAAGGCGCTTTATAAATAAAGCTTTGATTGATTGATTGATTGATTGATTGATTGATTGATACTATAAAATGACTACTTTATTCAGTAATAACTAATCTAACGTGTCACCATTTCCACATTAGTAATCAACTTAACGTGACTTGTCCAAGACACCGTGCATTACTGGTTACTACTTTTGTGATATGCAAAGACGGCAAAAGCAGCATCAGGAGTAGTGGGACACGTGCACCCAACAGCAGCACGGATGCTGTAGTCAGAACAAACAGCACTTCGGCCACTGAATGACCGAATGGCGCCGCGGTGCAAATGAACACCGACCAAAGATGGCAGCATCAGAACGCTGAGCGACAGACAAACAGCCAACACAACCTAGCAACAAAAGCTCACCGAAACAAGCCAAAATAGAACAAACAACAGTAAACCTGGCTACCCACAATGCACCTCGTCTGCTGCTTGTTCCACAGTCACTAGTGTCACTAGTGACCCCGCCCACTGCAGAACAGACAGTGGGTGAGGTGCATTTTGGGTAGCTGCTTGTCCTATCATGGTGTGTTTTGTTGCTAGGTTGTGTTGGCTGTTTGTCTGTCGCTCAGCGTTCTGATGTCGTGTTCATTTGCACCGCGAAGGGCGGTTCCATGCTGAGGAACGGGATCTCAGTGCTGTTCGTGTTTTTAACCGCGTGCCTCACAGTAATTTTTGGTTTCAGTGTGTTTGCTCATGCTGGGTGCTAGCTTGGAGCCCACTGCCCCACACATGGCACTGGCATAACGGATAGCTGGTTTGGTGTAGAAGCGGCGGCTTCAGGTACTGGCAGCTGCTGGAAATTACTAACAAAGTAGCTTTTAATCTAACTTTGCTACTTCTAACACAAAGTAACCAGTAAAGTAACTTAGTCTTGGAAGGAGTAATCAGTAGTCAGTAATCAAATGACTATTTCAAGATAACTGGCAACACTGAAGGCATCGTGGTACCCGTGGTCCTTGGGGCACCCAGGCCAGTGCCCCCCTGACTGGAGGAGTGGCTAAAGTAGATCCCAGAAAAAGCATCCGACATCAGCTAAGATACTGCAGAACCCTCACGCTCCCAGGGGAGGACCTGAGCGTGGAAGGATGAGAGCACCCGCGGGGGGTGAGATGGGAACGTTGTGTTTTGTTAGATAAATGTATACACATGTACACATATCCCTTCAGAGATGAGAGGCTGGAGGTGATCTCCTGCATCATAATGACCAGCAGGTGATTGGATCCTAAAACCAGACAGATATTTATATTATTAGTATTATTTATGGTTTGGTCTCCAGCCGAGCGTGTTGCTAACCTGCCACTGGGACTGGTTCAGCCACTGCATATCTCCTCAGTTGGCAGCTCAGGATTGACATCTATTTTTGGCAGTTTCCAGGCCTCGGACATTAGTATTTGATGGTGTTTTTGGAGTTGATCCATTTTTAGATGCTCCCTTCTGAAGCTCTGGTAATTGGCTCTCTTGTATCCATGTTTCCTTGATCTGGACTTCCAACCTTCTCCTACACATTGTTTATGGTGGCCGATGTTAACAGTGCTTTTGCCAAGCGCCTCGGTGACCACTGTACTGTCGGTGCTGCACATCTGCTTGCTGGATTCTGTGATAGTCCCAACAGGGATTGTACTTGATGCTGCATTCACATCATCTAGTTCCGGGGTATTCAGGTCCAATCCTCGAGGGCCGGTGTCCAGCTCATTTTGGTTTTAACCTGCTTCAACACACCTGATTATCACCAGCAGGTGATTAACGGGCTTCCACAGAGCCTGATGAGCTGCTGCACAGGGGATTCAACCACTGAATCTAGTGTGTTGGATCAGAAAAAACACTAAGATTTGTTGGATACCGGCCCTCCAGGACCAGAATGGAGAATACCCTGAATCTAGATTCTCTGGAGGTACCTTACTCAGCTTTTCTAGCTGCTGTGTTAATTCCCCATCTGATTCTGCGTCCATAATCAATTTTAAGATAGTTGGACTCACATAAACAGACTTAACCCCAGCTGGTCATGCAGGAGAAAACTGGTTTTCATCTGAATTCAGGTCTAAATCAGACGTGGAGACACGTGTGAGGATGTTGGTGTTACATATGTAGACACACGGGGCTAGAGAGGGATGAAAAACAACTCACATCAAATAAAACACGCTAGACTTACCACGCCTCAGTGATCGGTGAGCTAACAAACCCAATAAAAATATACAGTTCAGAAAACATGTTGATGGGGAAATAAAAACACTTCATACACACACACACACACACACACACACACACACACACACACACAAACACACACACACACACACACACACACACACACACACCTGGGTGGATTCTTGTGCTGATTTCTGACCTGATTAACCCTTCTGATGCCTGATTACCAAAAATGGTACTATCAGGTGTAGCTAGTGCTCTGAAGCCCCATTCCCATCAGTACCGGGTCGGCCCGGGCCGGGTAGCGTAGGTTGTTTACATATCTGGGTGGCCTGGTATTTTTCCGGGCCAACCAAGGCTCATTCTCAGCCCTCTTCTCGAGGGGGTCTGCTTCAGGCCGACCAGGGACAACACACCCACTGCTGACAGCAAATTCACACCTTCCATTAGAGCAAGCCTCTGATTGGTGGGTAGAATCAGCCCACATGGGCTCAAGACAAGCTCAATTCATTATCATTCATTATCATGCTGATTGCCCAGAAGCTGAAAGTGTCTCTGACTGCATTCCTTGCATTACCTAAGCAAGGATGTGTGGAAACAACTGGGCCAGGCTGGGGCTACCCGGCCTGGGCCGACCCGGTACAGATGGGAATGGCCCAAAGAGGCATTGGGGCCACTCCCATCATAAACTGGGCCTATCAAACATGCTGGAATGCCTTCATCTAATTTTGATGACAAACAAGCGTGCTGGCTGTTGACCATGACCTGTCTTGTACCCAATCAGAAAGCAAGGTGTCAAAAGCCCAATCCCTGTCCTTTTCACCATGTTTCTTTGCTTCAGTTGTGCTTGATCTCACAGATGTTCTGTCTGATCGGTGAATGGTTTTGATCAGGTGATGTAGGTGCAAACCTGTCAGGTGAGCAGGGTAGGGTTAGGGTTAAGGGTTAGACATCTCCGGCTCTCGCTGGAGCAGTTCACAGTCAAGTGTGAAGCTGCTGGGATGAGAATCAGCTCCTCTAAATCTGAGACCATGGTCTCTGAATCAGAAAAGGGTAGAATGCCTCCTCCAGGAAGAGGTCCTGCCCCAACTGGAGGAGTTTAAGTATCTCAGGGTCTTGTTCACGAGTGAGGGAAAGGTGGAGCGTGAGATCGATAGGTGGATTGGTGCTGCATCTGCAGTGATGCGGGCGTTGTACCGGTCTGTCGTGGTGAAGAGAGAGCAGGCGAAGCTCTCGATTAACCGGTCGATCAGATTGGCTGAAAGGAGCTTTCTCCACAGCGTGGTCGGACCCTCCCTTAGGCCTGGAATATACTTGCTGTTTAATCTTGCGTTGGCGCTGGGAGCAGGCTGCATCTTTGTTCACATACTTGCTGCAACCCGCCGATGCACTGCATGTAGTACAAGAGTGCTCCTCTAGGGGGCGCACTAGTGAACTCAGACCGGACAGAGAGCCGGGTTTGTAGGAACAACCAAAACAAGCATGTCGTCAATACAAGAGCTCACCAACTGGTTAATTCTGGGATGACACCAGAAAAAAATTAACCAGAGGTACGACCTTTAAACGAGAGATGCAGGGACTATGGTGAGTGTGTCTTGCTCGGTTTGTGAACTCTATCTACTGGTTACGCATTCAGACGTGTCTCATTGATTTCAGGAGACGCGCACAAATAAAAGCTTCAAATCAACACAAGCAACGAGCGGCAGCCAATTTAAACACATCTTTGCGCCATTGCGGCACAAGGACCGGGGGGATTTTTACAGTAATTATACAACAATTATGTATAAAACTACAGCCTTGAGGCTCTTTTATCAGGAATGCAGAACTGTCAAGTACACAGGTGGCAGTAGATAACCCTCTTATACTTTCAATTCTACTTCATTTTTTACCTTGTTGGGTAAGTGTAGCGACACGAATGGCCTCATATTTGTGACCCAAAGGTCACACTTCCCCAGTGGGGTCAAGCTGTAACTTTTGTTCCACAGATTATCCATCAGGAGCCGTGCAGTCTGCTAAACATCGTCTTTTATCTGTCTGCTGTTCTGTCCCAAGAAGAAGGACACTTCAAGATTTTAAAATAATAATTTTAATAAACTGTTTTTAATGTTTATTACAATCTTATAATAATCATCATAAATAATCATCATGGTTCAGTATAAATGTAATAAATTACTGAAATGACTTATTATTCTTTGGGTTAATAATAATTATTATTTATGATAATCAGTAATGTGTGATCAGTAACCAGAAGGTCATTGGCACGTGTACACATCATGCAGGACTGAATCCAGGGTAAAAGTTAACTTGCCACATGTCTTTGCTCCACAACAAAAGCTTTCTGACGCTGAGAGGGCGTGTTCTGAGGTTCTGTTAGAACCAAATCTCCGCAGCTCAAGTTCAGTTCTTGAACCCACCAGATGTTGAGGGACGGCCGCCCAAGCCTCTACTAAGCTGTTCTGTCATGTCGATAGACTTGTTCCGAATAAACGCACCTGTAACCAGCTGACGGAAAAACTCCTTCAGAGTTGTTGATTTTCAGACGCAAATAGTTTCATCAGTCGTGTGACCCGGAGACATCTCAGGACCGATTTGAGTCGCACTAAGGTCCCTCTACCAACCTCGTGGTTGGAGTACATCATCTCCACCTGACATCTCAGATCCACAGAGGGTCTACTGAACTGGGTGAGGTAGACACTTCCCGACAGATGGCGTCTGATGCTGTTCTCTCTAAGAAACCATAAATTAGCTGCAAAACAATATTTGTCACCCAGAACGCGTTTCTCTCTCTGAAAGAAATCTTCTGAGATATCATTCACGCATCCAAACCTCGCATTTCATTTTAGCTTTCCATCCAGACACAGGTTTGCTTTTAATAACAAGTTTAATATCAAGCTATTACAAATTGTCATTTTCAAATTATCATCTTTAAAATTGTCATTTCTTCAAATTGTCATTTCTTTAAATTTTCATCTTTAAAATTGTTAGTAATTAATTGTTAACTTTTGAAACCTGACTTCTTTGAAATGAAACACAGAAAGGTGTATATTTGGTTATTGAATAAGCAAAGAATCCATTAAGTCTTCTGTTTAATAAACAAACTTTTGCTATAAAATGTAATTATCTTCAATTAAAAATTAATCTTTGGACTAAAATATGGACCAAGACAGTTAGTGTATGCACTTCTATCGATTGCATTAATATCCTAGATATTTATGCATAATATAAGTTCATATGCCAATGTGCCTGGTCTTTTCTCAGGATCTAACCAAACTGATAGCAAACAGTGTTAAATCCTAGCATGTAGACCTGCCCATGCTACATAAGTAAAAGGAAATACTTTATTCATGTGACTATACGTTTACTCTGGTCAAACATGGTAGTATTTGATTTAAATGACAAGCGTGATGTTTTGTCCTTGGTGTG